AAATATCTGAGAGCACTCGATTTTATCTACCAAATATCTTTTTAGTCACACCATCATCTCTTGTCTGGAGTACCAGGCACCGGCTCTACCCACAAACAGATACCAATTCTAAATTCTCTGCTTTTGCACAGGCTGACACATTTTCGCGGTTGTGCCTTGACTAAGAGCTCGCTATTTGGATTAACAAAGCATAAAACCATTCGCTAATCAAACTTTATGTATCCAACGGGGGAAAACAGCTGTAAAAAAAAAGTGTTCCTGGTTAAATACGAAAAGGAAAATGTCAAATAATAACAGCGGAAATGTTTTTAATAGTTTGCTGACTAACGAGAAATAACTGACTCATTGGCAAGGCGAACGAACAGTGGACAGTGGGTAAAGTGGGTGGCTTGGGCGGCTACTGGGTCAGCCGCAAAATGTGAAGAATGGACGCAGTCACACCCACAAAGCTGCCCGCCCACACACCCACATAGAAAAGAGGAAAATTTTGCACTCAATAACAGTCAGTGGACGGTGGACGGTGGGCGGTGGGTGTCGGTGTGAGGTAGGCGGGACACTGCCTGATAACCCCATCTCGCTATAATGCATTCATGGAAATTCATTTAAGTGCAAAGAGGATGCAGCAGCAGCTGACAGAAGGAAGCCAACAAAAGGCAGGAGGCAGAATTATGAGCATGCAACAATGCCACACGTCGAGCGACGCCAAATTAAACAGAATGAAAGAGATAGACAGATCGTGAGAGGGAGAGGGAGAGGGAGAGACGACAACGACGACGAGCAGAAAACTTTTTGCTGATTAACTCAATTAGAAATGCATTGACAGTTGGACAAACGAAGACAGCTTGTTGATTACAGAGAGAGAGAGAGCGGAACGATAGCGAAACCTGATCTATAAATACACGCTCTGTGTGCGTGTGGGCAACTCTGTGTGTGTGTGTGTGTGTAGGTGTGCAATTGCATTCACTTGGCAACTGTGTGCATCTATGTATGTGTGGGCAGCCCACAAAAGTATGCTATTGAGCTGCATTGAACTAACAACGCGATTTCTGCTTTTCAATTAATGCGGACTTCAATAGGAGCTTAAATGATATACCAAAATAATACTCAAAATATATAAAGTATATATAATATAGACAATCAGTTATAGTAGAATATCTATTTGTAGATGATATTTTATATATAAACATATATACATATAGTCATATAATTTCATCCTTTTCTTAAAATCAGTTGATAATAAATAATAAGCTCTAGTCAATGATATCACAACCCACGGACAACCTCGTCAGGACTACACTCGATATTAGTGTTAGTTAACATCACACTCAATAAACATCACCCAATACTATGAATGAACCGATATATCGATAAGATATTCAAATCGAATAAAACTGTCATCTTTGACATTTATACATATATCATTACTCATCAATATTTTTTAATTAATATTATTTTAATTTCTTTTTTCATTTTCAAAACTACTTGACATTCCCATTACAAACCATACTCAATATATCCCTCTCTCTATCAGTCTGCCTCGTTCTTCCACTCTCTGTTTTTCTCTCTCGCTCTCTCTCTCTCGCAATGCTCCTGCACAATTTTGTAATTTTAAGAAAGATCAAATTCCCATTAAATAACCCAGGACTGCATAAGACAGAGACGGCGCGCGTCATGTTTCCGTTACTCGCGAGCAACAGCTTCGAAGCTAACGTGTGTGTGTGTGTGTGTGTGTGTGTGCATGTGTGCGTCTCTTACTCCCACGCCAATCAAGCTTGTGAAATTGGTTTGCATAGAAAGCTTTTAGTCTCATAATTACCTCTCAAGGCAGGCTCATAAATTAAGCGACAGATTAGGCAAGAAAAATAATAAATAATTGAAATATACAAATCTGAAATAACAAATGACGTCAACGGTCTTAAACTACAGACAATAGAGTTTTGTATGCTAATCAAATTCAAGACGACGTTAGATCGAATTCAAACAATGAATCAGATTTCCTATTTTGTTGCGCAGTGTAGAAGCAATAATCTAGCCAAAAAAAAAAAAAAAAAATTCCTGATTGGAGGGCAACATAAGAATCAGTTTATTTTATTTTTTTGTTGTGGTTTTCTGAACTGTCAGTTTTATCCATACAAGATCTAAAATTGCTGGCGCCATCTCGGGGCTCCGGCCGGGCAATTTAGCCACCCTCTCACGCTGTGGTACACACACAATCATGCATAAGTATGTCAATTTATTGCACAACTTCACTTAGAACTTTTCACAATTCACTCACCTTAGTTATTGTTGTAAAGTTGTCGTTGGTTTTGGTTTTTGGTTTGGGGAGTTGCGCGCGTGCCAAGACAAAAAGTTCCCTTGTATTGTTTTTTTCTTCTTCCTCAAGCTTTTTTTTTTTTTTGGCGGCCTTGTGGCTAATTCAACAGCTGTCGACTAATTAAAGCTAAACTTTGAATAATCTTAGCTACGAAAAATAAATTCGCAAAAAAAAACTGCCCTAACCAAACGAAATGTACGTGTATGTGTAGGTATGTGTGCCTTTATTTGCATGTGTGTGCCTGTGTCGGTTGTGTGTATATGTATGTGTATAATTTCCTTTTTGGCAATTTTGCACGCATTATAAATTTGGCACGCCGCGTTTTACACTTTAGAATAGAAAAAAAAAAAAACAAAAAATAACTTGAGCAGCACTAACAAATTGTCAAAAAAATATTCTTGGCACCCGAAAATTTTGAAAGCTGTTAATATGAATAAGTTGTGTTTACCGCTAAGCGCACTCGTCGTGACTAAATTCACAAAAAAAATTACTTCGAGCTGGGAACACACTTAGTTGTGAACTGTTCGCTTGCCTTTGGTAAACTATTTCAGCTAAGTCTGACAGCCGCCAACGGGGTCCAAATGCCTTCAGTGTAGGCGATATGCTCGTAGCTGATTGGCTACGATATGGCGGCGTCTGCCAGGCGGCTTCTGGCAGGCCGCTTCTGGCAACAGTACTCACAGTTTTTTGCAACGAGTAGCGAGTACTTTTCAAGTAAATTGTTGAATTCATTTAGATGTTTGTATTTAAAAGTGCATTTAATGCTTTTTTAATATTATTTGTATCATAAAAAAATGTCGCATATATTTTAATAATATAAATTACATACTAAAAATTGCTGTTTTTATTCGAGTAACCGTTACCCTACAATGAGTAACTAACGAATTAATTTATAAGAGACATCTCTAGTGACTGAGTATCCGACAGAGTTGCATTTGCCGGCAAAAAGTGAAGAGCGCGGTATTCAAAAAATACTACTATTTTGCAAATAATAGCTAATATATTTCCTTATTGTTTGCCAATATCTGATACTAAATTCGTTTTTAGTTATGCTTACAGCTAAAATAGTTTTTTCTGAACACATTGGTGCTCAAATGTAAAAAAAAATTGATAAAAGAGTGAACACTTATTGGAAATTAGGCTGTTGTATAACACTACCATTCAAAGCAGTGCTCAGAAGCGAATTTAAAAAATAATTAAATATCATTTGATAAACAATCAATTAGTTAACTGATAACCATATTATTAATATACACATTTTAAAATAACAATTTTGTCCTATATTAAACTATTTTTCATGTTATGTAACCCCACCATACCATTCCTATTTAGAAAATGAAAAAGGTATTCAGTCATTGGCATTCACACTCGCATTTCCACATACACATGCCCAAGCAATATCAATAATACAATAAAAAAAACACCAGTTTTAGGGTTGCTTACGCTATCGGCTATCGCTTGCAAGTGTTGCCCTCTAGGCCGATTAAGCGGCCTAACTACCTCAGCGCAAAAAAAAACGCATATTCAAATGACCGATTTTCCATTATTTCACCCGCCCGCCCCATTTGGCGATGTCTATATGTCGTTTAAATATTAAATATTTATTTTTAAAATAAGTGCATCCTCAGCTGTTAGTATATTCAATACTATATACATTTGTACATATGTATGTATGTATCTACATAGTGTTATACCTACCATATGTGCATGGCCTGACATTAAAATTGGAAATTTTCATTTGTTCCCTTTACAATGGCTGAAGCGAAAGCAACTTGACGATGACGAGCGGTAGTTGCGAGCTAAAACCATTACAAGATATTTAAAGCATAGGTGCGAGCAGGACCACTACTGTTTGCTGCTCGCTGCTATTAGTGTCAGTCATGAGTACATACATAAGCTGCGACTGTGAGTGTGGGATAAAACCAGCAAAGCAACGACATGTAAGAGCATTGGAGCGCGCGCTGCCGATGACTAACATTTCAGGGCTGCCAGATGGGTGCACAGATTGCGATTATGCAGGGTGTGGCCGTTGGTTAGCAATTTGGTTTGATTTTTTAAATAAATCTACCTTCCATATTTTTCTACAACATGAATTTTTTCCCAGAAAAAATGTTTTCTTTTAATTTTGAAGAGTTTGTTAAACATTAAAAGTATGAAAACGCCTGCCTACGTATGCATATAGAATGCATACATCAGTTTTATTTAATATACATATATTAATTTAATATACTACATACATACATATGTATGTATGTGCATACATATGAATTCATTTTCATCATCTGTATACATAACATTTTCAAATGACTATTTTTTGCGATTATTTAAATTATGTACGAAAATAAAATTAGTTTCTTATGCAGCTGACATTGTTGCACTTCGAACTTAGAGGCAACGCGCCAACCTTAGTTTAGGGGGTTACGCAAACCTGTCATAAGCAGAGGATCTTGCCTCTTCACCGCAACCCTGTGCAATGCTCTGTTGTGTGCGCGGCTACACAGCAATTTCACAATTTTTCTCCCAGCACGTCTGGCAACCCAGGCAGCAGCAGCAGCACATCAACTCAATTGCCCGACTTCTTGCTCTCTCGCTTGCTCGCACGCTCTCATATATGCGCACAAACATACGAACGGATGTATGCATGTATGTATATGTCTATATACCGTATGAGCCGCGTGTATGTATTTGTGTGCCAGAGTGGCCTGCCTGCCCTGCTGCTTGTTTAGCGCCCGCTTATTTTGTGAGTTGGCAGCACAAACAAGTCGCAGCGCGCTGTTCAGTTGTTTTTTCCTCGTCAAACTTACGCTACTGCTACAACTCTGCTGCTCTCTGTTCGTTCGTTCGCTTGCTTTCTATTTGATTTCGTTTTTGTGTTATTAACAATTTGCCGTTGTGTGCGTGTGTACGTGATTATTTCGAAAATATTCTGATGAAAATGTTCGACAACAATAAAAATAGAAGATTTATAAAGAAAGAGCTGTGCAGCAACGGTTTAAACATTAACAACAACGAACACAAATTGCAGCAACGCAAAGACTGTAGGATTTGAAAAGAGGCTGGAAACGAGTTTTGTTTGCGTTCGCAAAGCGCGCGCATAATCTGATTTTCCATCAAGGTGAAACTGCAACTGGCATTGACTGCATACAATTTCCCATAAGTTTATACAAGCTCAGAACAAAAAGAAAAAACTAACGCAAATGAAGTGAAAGAAAGAAACAAGCAGTAGAAGACAGTACAAATTGGCGGCGGTTTCCAACACAAAAATCAAAATACCAACAAAAAATAGAAAGAAGAAGGCAAGCAATCAAACACATGCACACAAACACAGAACCATCAACGTAAATACTATAAAACTCACACACATATATACACACACTTGCATGCCTGTCGTCCAGCATAGACAAACAAAGAACCAGAGAGTAGTGCGCCCGCTCACACACATGGTGCGACCAATTAACGCGAGAGCAAGACAGCAACGATAGCAGTCAATATTGGGAGTGCGAGTGCCAAATGTCACATGAAATTACAACACTGCTGTGAAAGACAAAAGCAACAACAGCAACGTGAACAGTAAAAACAACAACAACACGGCGGCAGCAGCTCTAACTTATCAAGAAGAAGCAGCAACATAAACAAAACCAAAACAAGTACAAAACAGGCGCCGGCTACGACCAGCCCCAATCTTCTTTCCCTCTCCCTCCCCTCTAAATGCTAAAATGCTTCCCAGCATGCAGACAGCAACAACAACAATAAACACACTTCCAATGGAAACAGAACAGGATGTTGCCCATGTGGAATATGATGTTATTAATTACTATACAGATGCCAGTCCAAATGTGAATCCGGATGCAGCAACAGCAGCATCGGCCGCTTCAGGGGCTTCAGTCTCTGAGCAGCGATGTTCCCGAGTCAGCAATAACAACAATAACAATACATTGCTTGACGTTGTTGTTCACCCAAGAGCCGCAGAGACTTTACTGGTCACGCCTACAACAGAAACTTCGAGCAACAGTAGTAGCAGCAGCGGTGGCTGTAGTTCTTCAGCAGCGACACCGATGCGCACCAAAGGCAGCGGTAATGTCAGCAGCCGGCAGCGCAGCAAAGAGAGAACTACTGCCAGCACCACGCCCACATTGGGCGTAAATATGCGTGTGACCGGACAGTGCAGCCAGGGCGGTCGCAAATATATGGAGGATCAATTCTCTGTAGCATATCAAGAATCTCCACTGACACACGAGCTGGAATACGCATTCTTTGGCATTTACGACGGACATGGTGGCACGGAGGCAGCGCTCTTTGCCAAGGAGCATCTCATGCTGGAGATTGTCAAGCAGAAGCTGTTCTGGTCCGATAACGATGAGGATGTGTTGCGTGCGATACGCGAAGGTTACATTAGCACACACTTTGCCATGTGGCGCGAGCAAGGTGAGTGAGCGAGTCAACTATATATGTGTGTCTGTGTATTATAATAATCGCTTATCGATTTGCTGGCCACTCTCTGAGTGGAATATTCCATAGGCTTGCCATCTGCTCACGAAAGTAACGTGCGCTGGCAACCCCGCTGTGTGCGCCCATAATTGAGCGTGCGCTAGAGCGAGTTGGCAATACACACAAAAGCAGATTAGCAGCGCAGCAAGTGTGCACAATTGGAAAGGTTGATATATGAATTGTTGCTGTTGCGACGTCACAAACAAAAAAATATTTAAGCTAGAAATGCATTTATTGAAAGAAAAAAAAAAAAAAAAAATGGTTATTTTAAAAACTTACAAACGTAGTTGAATTTACATTGCGAATTTGAATAAGCTAAAGTACGCTTGCAGAACTTATCGATTTATTGTTATCGAACTTGCATTTGAATTCAATTTTTGGTGTTTCGTCTTTCTATTTGTAGAAAAGTGGCCGCGCACAGCTAACGGGCATTTGAGCACCGCCGGCACCACAGCAACAGTCGCTTTTATGCGCCGCGAGAAGATCTACATTGGACATGTGGGCGATTCGGGCATTGTGCTCGGCTATCAGAATCCTGGCGAACGCCGCTGGCGCGCCAAACAATTGACAACAGACCATAAGCCCGAATCGCAGGCGGAGAAGGCGCGCATTCAGCGTGCCGGTGGCCAGGTGGCCATCAAGTCTGGTGTGCCGCGCGTCGTCTGGAATCGTCCGCGCGATCCAATGCATCGCGGACCCATCAAGCGACGCACCCTCGTCGATGATATACCCTTTCTGGCTGTGGCGCGTTCGCTGGGCGATCTCTGGAGCTACAATTCGCGTTGCAAGGAATTTGTCGTTAGTCCCGATCCGGATGTGAAAGTGGTCAAAATCGATCCAAATACGTTCAGGTGTGTCTCTAATCTCGACCGCTCTATTATTCAAATAAAGCTCTGTGAGCAATGGGAAGCAACACTAAGATTGGTCTTACGTAATTTTCCAATACTTAATTTGAAGATAAATTACCAGAAGCCGAATCAAGCTAGATTTCATTGCTGGTGACATTTTGCGTTAGCCAACACTGCCAACACTTAAGAGTAAATGTTTAAAACAGCCGTGAAGTAAATCCAAATTTCTATTTTTACACTTGACTGCAAAGTACTTTCTCACACTTTACGGTTGACCTCAATTTAATCCTTTACCAAGGTTGTAAATATTATATAATACCTTTAATTGATATTTACATTATTCATTTCACACTCGACTTTAAGCAGTGGCATTTACCAACACTGTACATATTCAAAAATACCTTCGACTAATATTTATGTATATTTTGGCTTTTCCAGATGTCTCATCTTCGGCACAGATGGCCTTTGGAACGTTGTTAACCCGCAGGAAGCAGTCGACTCGGTCCAGGAGAAACATCTCATTGGCGAGTGTCTGCACGAGCAGGACGTTATGAACCCAAGCAAGGCTCTGGTCGACAAGGCCCTCAAGACGTGGGCCAGCAAGAAGATGCGCGCGGACAACACGTCCGTTGTAACTGTGATACTAACGCCCGCATCAGCAGGAGCAGGCGCTGGAGCTGCCGCTGCCGCTGCCCCAGCACCTGCAGCTGAGCTGGAGACTTCCTTGGATACGGAGAACAAATATCCGGGTGGCTTGGCAGCCCAATTGGCGGATCAGGAGGAGCTCGACCTGGAGCTGTGCGGCCACATTGAGGAGCAGGAATATTTCCATGATACGCCGTACAGTGCCTTGGCCAAGCGGCATTTGCCGCCGGAGCCGTATCGCAATTTCGACTATTACTTTGAGGAGGAAATGCTGGAGGAGGTGGTCGAGGAGGAGGAAGAGGAGGAACACGACGAGGAAGACGACGAGGAGCATGAACAAGAACAGGAGCCAGAGATCGATGAGAATGTTGTGCAGCAGAGTAAATATTGGCGCCGATCGCGACAGCAATCGATTTCCGGCTGGCCGCAGACAACGTCTTTGATACGTCATCGTCGTCCCGAAGTGGACGAGGATCTGTTGAGAGAGCTGCTGCAGCCTGAGCACGATCAAGAGATCTATGGGAATACGAACAGCAATAGTAACAGCAACAGCAACAGTAGCAGTGTCTACAGCTGCAACAGTAACAGTAACAGTAACAGCAGGAGCAACAACTGTGAGCTGGAGCTGGAGCACAGCTACGATAGTTATGTTAGCAATACGTCGGTCAGTGCCGGCGGCACGGAATACAGTTTTGCCGAGTCCTACAACACGCTGCTTAACGAGCAGCAGCAGCAACAGCAGCACTTCCAGCAGCAGCAGCAACCGTTGCAACAGCAGCAGCTGCAACAACAACAACAACGCAGTCAACAACAGCAGCAACACAGCAGCATGCAGGAGATATTGCAGGAGCAGCAGCGCTATCAGCAGCAGGAGGGCTATTCGCTCACACAGCTAGAGACGCGACGCGAACAACAGCAGCAACAAGAGCAACAGCAGCAGGCGATGGTGATGGCACACAGCAACAGGTGGCAGCAACAGCAGCAACATCATGCAACGACATATGTGGAGCAGCAGCCGGGTGAGCTGATGGCGTTGAATGCGCTGCTGCAGCAGGAACGCGATGAGGAGCAACAGGTGGCATTGGAGCGACAACAGGAACAGCAGCAGCAGCAGCAACTGTTGCTGGTTGAGGCTAGCTCCAGTTCCAGTTCAAGTTCCAGTTCCAGCTCGAACTGCAGTTCCTCCAGTTGTTCCTCGTTCGTCTATGCCTCGCCTTGGAGCGAACCCAACTTGGCCACGTTGCAGGACAACGAGGTGAGCTCCACGCTGCCAGCCACGCCCACGCCAATGCCCACGATTGTTGGCGAGCTGGAGGAGGCGCAGGTTGAGGACATGGATACAAATCTGCCACAGTTGGCCGTCGTTGACGTGCAGCAGGAGCAGCAGCAGCCGCAGCCGCAGCAACAACAACAACAACAACAGCAGCAGCAACAATTGCTGTCAACAACACAACAGTCGCCGCAGCAGCCGCTACAATTGCTGGCAGCAACACAACATCCGCAGCAACAGCAGCCACAGCCGCAACAGTTGTCGATAGCGCAGGCGCGCGTACGCCGACCGCTGCGTCGCTATCGCAACGTGCCCAATGAGAATCATCAGCATTTGCAGACGCGTCGTCGACAGCTGTTCAAGCACACCAAAAGCAAGTCGTTTATTGCCGCCAGTGCAACAGCAATTGTTGCCTACAACAGCAACAACAACAGCAATAGCAACAGCAGCAGCGAAGCTCTGCCCAGCGGCAGTAACAGCAGCAGCAACATTAACAGCGGCAGCAGCAATGTCGTTAACAGCGTTAACAGCAATATCAGCATTAATGGTAACATTAGCAGCAACAGCAGCAGCAGCAGCGCCGCTAGCATTAGTCACAGCAGTCGACGTCACAGCGTCAACAGCGGCCCCAGCAGCGTCATGGTAACGCGTCGCAGCCACAACTTGAGACTGGCCGGCAGCGGTAGCTGCGTTAGCAAGCGTCAGCTGCGCAGCTCCATCTGTCAGCTGAGCAGCCTGGAACTGACAAAGCGCACGCTGCGCAGCAGCAACAGCAGCAGTAGCAATAGCAACACCAATAACAACAGCAGCGGCAACAGCAAACAAAATAATAACAAATCCAGTCACACCTTCAATAAGCCGGCAACGCCAACAGCAGCAACGCCGACAGCAGCAGCAGCAGCAGCTGCGGTAGGAGTAAGCAGCGCATCTGGCGGCAGCGCGCGACGTATGCGGCGCAGCAATGATGAGCGAGAGCAGCGACGCAGCAGTCAGCGCCGCAGCACACTAGTCGCTGGTCAACTGAGTAACAGCAGCAGCAGCATCAATGCCGGCAACGGCGGCAGCAGTCAGTTCAGCAAGCCGACGCGCCTGCAGTCGTGTAACGGTGGAATTTCAGCGCGTCCGCCGCCGTCGCCAAAAAAACTGAATGCGGTCGTGCCGACGCTTGCTATTGGCACGCGCGCCTACACAGCGGCGCTGGCAGCAGCAGCATCTGATCTGTCGAAACGTTGGTCGCTGCGCAGCAGCAGCACCAGCCGCCTTAACAGCAGCACCAACAGCAACAACAACAGTCTGAGCAATAACAGTACGATGGCAACGCTGGTGACAGCCATCCGCTGTTACAGTGCACGCAATCGACCAACCGTTGCAGCAGCAGCAACGCCGAAACGGCGAAATCAATGTTGAGTAACAGAATGGAATATAGAGGATAAGTAGAGAAGTATAAAAGGTAGGAGAGATTAAAGTGAATGGCAGCCTGAGTGGCGCTGCCAACATGTTTCAAAATTTCAAGTACAAATGCAATTAAATCAATGGGAACCCTTATTAATTAGTTAGACGAAGTGACGAAGTGTATGTAATTGGTAAAAAAAAAAAATCTGTTATTTTGTCACGAAACAAAATTGTAGGTGCACATACGCAATCCGATGTTGTACATAACAAAACAAAAAAGAGAATCAAAGCTAACAAAATCTTAAAAAAGAAACAAAATCAGAAAATCAGATACAAACATATGGAAAATGCGTGTATGCCTAAAAATTAATAATAAAAAAAATTTATTGTAATAAGTTCTTAACATAAATATGTACATCATTATATATATATGTAGATATATATGCTAATTAATTGCATCAAGACAACGGGTTTAATTTCGATCAAAGCTTTAACCGTTTGAACAATTTGTAATGCAAACTATTTTTTTTTTCTTTTTTTTTTTTTACAATTATTTTCTCTTATATCTATAAAATTAAGTTGTCGAAAGTATTTATTTTAATAGGCTAGACAGATGCTTATAATTATACAAAAAAAAAAAAAAGGAAAGAAAAACATTCAAATGATTTATTAAATTAATTTATGTCTAGCTTAAGTTTAAAACTGTAGTAATATGCATATATTTAGATATATTTCGTGTCTACTTTTTTGTATGTAAGATTAAGATTGAAATCATGAATATAGCATACATATATATTTTTTTTCAATAATTTAATGTAATTGTTACAAAGAAATGCAAATGCAACCAAATTAAATATTTGTATTAAAAATAAACAATATTTTTACAAGAACACAATTGAAGAGTCGTTTTCCATATGAATGTTAAATGGGTAGCGCAGCCGTCAGCTGAGCTCAAAGTGATAAACAAAGCGGCCGAACGAACAGGCAGCCAAGCACACGCTGCGACGCACAAATTAGCAGCACAGTGGCAACTCTATGCGAATGATATGCACGTGTAATCGATATCGATAATGAGATGCAACGATTAAAAGTAACATTCGCGGTCCTTTCAAATAAAATCAGCCAGTTAAAGTTATTGTATGCATTAAATGCGTCAAAATCAAGCCAGAAACTTCTCTGTGTCCACTCTTGTGCTCGTGCGTGTGTGTGAGTGTGCTTGTACGCGTATGTATGGGTGCGCTTGGTTAGCAAGGAATCGAAATCGTGTGCAAGCCATGCAAAGCTGAAACGAAATCAACAGCAGCAGCGCAGCAGCAGCAGCAACAACAGCAACAGCAACAGCAGCAGCGTCTGCGACGCAGCAACAAGAATTCTGGCCATTTGCCGACTACAGTTAAACGCGTTCGCTTCATTCTGCTGCGCGCTTGCCGTCCTTTGTGCGCACGTACGTACGAATATATATACATATATATTTCACTGTTTTTTTTTGGTTATTTTGTTTTGCGCATATGTACATATGTATATTTGTTTGGCTAACGGCGAGCAGCGTGTGACGACATACCTTCCTGCTGTTGTTTTTGTTATTTGTTAATAATAAGGAAAAAAAAAAACGAATTACAAGATTGTGGGTGCCTGTTTGTTTGTGTGTGTTAGTATTTTGTTGCAGAGTGTAAACAAAACGCGGCGCTGCGCGTGTTTGCTGCTGGCATTGTGCGTGTGAGGTTAAAAACAAAGTCTAGCTCAAAATCTGTGCAATATGTTTGGCGTGTGTGTAAAAAATATCGACAGCTGTAAATGGACAAGCGCTCACGCACACACTCAAAGGAATTGTTGATGCCTTTTATATTGAATGTTGCATTAAGCGTGAGTTATGCTAGTCTCAAGACTTTGCCAAATCCAATTGGAGTTGTATTAGACATATGAACATACATACATACTTATGTATATGTGTTCACGTTTCTCTGTAAGTTGTCGCGCCGTGCTGTCTGTCTGTTTGTCTTCGCGCGCACGTGTGTGTGTGAGTGTATGTGAGCGAGTGTGAGTGTATTTTCCACCCCAGCAGCGTTTCGAAACGCGGCCACAGCTCGGCTCCCGGCTCGCAGTTTTGTGCGCAGCTTCCCTTGAGCCGCAATCCCAGTTCTTATTGTTCCTTGCTTAGCTCTGCTGCGTCTATAAATTCATCTTGTTCGTGTTGCCTTTTCAACCCCCCTGACAGCGTCTTGAAACGTGTTTCAAAATGGGTGGCTCACAGCTGTATGGTTTTTTTTTTGTGGGCTTTGCTATGGCTTGCTGTTGTTGCTCTTGTTGTTGTTGTGGCGCATTATCCTTGGTTGCGTTGTGTGCGCGTTTTCGCCGTTAGTTATGACATCAACACACGCTTTAGCATTGGGCCACACTCAAACACACACACACACACACACATGCAGAGGCAGCGCTGCCTCGTGCAAAGTTACGTTGCGAGCTTTGTCCTTTGGCCAAAGCTTGCGCTGCCCTCGGCTTCGGCTTTGCTTGATTCGTGCTTACAGCCGCCGAGCCGAATAGCAGTGCCGTTACTTTCTGTTGTGTACTTTTTCACTGTTGCTGCGTTTGCTGCCTGCGAGCGCGCCATTATAATTGTTGCTGTTGTTTTTTTTTTGATTTCGTTTTCGGCTTGTCGCTTTTGTTGTGGCTGCAATCATCTTGCAGTCGAGAATTAATTGTTATCGATTTATTTATTTATTATCGTTGTTATTATTTAGCTCTAAGCTAACGGCTTAATATATATAATACATATATAGTGCATAATTGCATACATATATACATATGCATGAGTGTGTATATGTATGCATATTTCTTGTTCTTATTCTAATTTTATTTCATTTCAACTTTGGCTTTTGTGGCACCATTCAAGCAGCGATCCCCCCCCCTTTGCACTCATATTTACTCACTCACACTCCTTCTGTTCGACCTGTCTCTCTCTCCTACTCGCTCTTCCTATGCTCTTTCTAGCCCTCCATCTCACCTTGTCTTGATCATTTGCCCAATGTGCAGCGCTCATATTTGAAGGGAAAACTTTTATGTTTCAGACGCTTTGGCCTAAAAATATCGTCGAACAATTTTGAGTTGGACTCGCAGCTGCTTTTTTTTTTTTTTTTTTTTTTTTTTTTTTTTTTTTTTTTTTTTTTTTGTTTTTCGTTTTCAGGTCGAAATATGAAACTTCTTAAATAGTTCAAAAAAAGATTTGTTTTTATGTTTATTGGGTACACATTTTTGTTGCGTTTCTTTCGAAAAGCTTTGCGCCTAATGCTGTGCTTTAAGCTTCCAACAGTTGGTTGGAATTTCACATGATCAATGAAAATGTAATGTAATTTATTACTAGGTTTGAATATATGATTTGTAGTTGCTCTTTTTTTTTCATATGTCTAAGATAGGTATTTTATAGCTAATTATATTCGGGCGTGAGCTTTTATAGCCATGCCTATCTTTCAAGTCTCTTTGAACTGAAAAGTTTTTTTATTATCTGTTTGTCTAATTGATCTCGGGATCTATAAGGCCAATAACATTCAAATTTGGTGTATAGATAGTTGGTAAGTCAGGAGCTGTATAAATTCAATTTGATACTTAGGCCTTTGGTATTTATGTAGCCTTAAGAAGCTAGAGAACTAAAGAACTAGCAGAGCTAGACCGCTAACTCGGGAGCTTTAAGAGCTATGGACCTCCAATTTAGTACTCAGTTATCTAACAATTCAGAAAAAGTAGAAAATCCTCAAAGCCGGCTAATGATTGCTTAGCATCCCTCTCATTGTAGTACCGGAAATCTATTTAATCTCTCAATTAGTGATCAATCTATATTTGTTTCCATTCTTTAGGCATGTCTTTAATGCTGTTTTCCTTTCTCTTTCTTCGATCGATGCTACGCTACAGATTTCCCAATCGCATCTTTTAGTTTTTTTTTATATATATATAGATTTATAACGAATCCAACATGAAATTTTACACTGAAGCTATGTCTAATCCAACCAAACTGCTTGGTGCTATAATTAAAACGCTCGTCATCTTTAAGTTTAGAACAGAAATTTGTGTATTTTCCAAATGATACAACATCATCTGTATTTGTATAGTTCTCTCTTCCTCTCCCGCTCCCTCTCTCTCTCTTTCTCACTCTCTCTCTATCGGTTTCTCTGTTTCGGTCCCCTCTATCTATATACATATCTATCGCTCTTGGCCCTATATCTCATTTTATGGGCAGCCCCATGCCGTGTAGTCAAAGCTTCTTCTTGCTTTATTTTTGGCTTGGCCATATTTATAGCGCTCATTTCAGTGCATTCGTTTGCTGGCTCTCGCACGCTCACACTCTTATTGCACACACACACATTCGCTCTCTCTCCCTTTCTCTGTCTTGTTGGGCTCGGCTCTAATGGCTGTCCTAGGTGCATAGCACGGAGCTAAGTTCAATTACCTTTAAATGGTTTATACAAACAGACGCAAGATGGGCAACTGATATCAAACGGCGCATGCACCCAACACACACACACACGCACACATATACATACATACGCAGGCGCACAGATTAGGCAGACGTGCGCCTGATCCCAGTTCTCAGTAGCCCGTTGTCAGCTCCCAGTTTGCCCGCTTGCCTAAGGCCGAGGTGAGGCAATGCAACAACAACAACAACAACAACAACAACGAGAACAACCAGAAAGAACTCAAGTTGCTGCCAAAAATAAATTTGAACTGAAATCGCGGCGCAGTCGAGGAAAAACCAACGCAATGAATTCCTCTTGTTTTCCCAACTCGAGAGCCAGGCAAAAGCAAAGCACAAACGAACCGAGCCGATATATACAAACATACACATACATACGCAGCTATACTTCTATCTATACATAGATATGTACGCATACCTAGCAAGAGGCCGCCCCGCCCCCCGGATGAGGCGCGCTTCAAGTGCAGACGCTCTTGCCACTTGGTGCATGGGGTTAGAATCGGGATTGTTGTTCTTGGTGTTTTTTTTGTTTAATTTAATTTATTTTTTTTTTATTTTTCGGACAGGGTGAAGCCATCCCCAAGTCTAAGGGGCTGGCTCTTCATGACGCAACGTCTACGGACGTGACGACCTCATTAGTTTCGAGTTTCCCCCCCCCGAAAAAAAGTATATATAAGCAAACACCAAAGACAATAACAAAAACAATGTGAAACGCAAATGAGAGCAGGAAAATTGTTGAAAACAGAAAAAAGAAAATCAACAACGGCAAAAGCATCCAAATGTTGCGGCCGGTGTGCTTAAGGGAGCGGAAAGCTTAAACTCTAGCTATAAAGTATATACAAATATATATA